ACAGGAAAGTCAGGAGTGCTCTAGGCAAAAGATGTCAAGAGTCAGGGTGGAAATGTGCTCCCAGAGTTTTCAAGTCCACTTCGGTGCCAGCCACTCAGTGACCCTTGCTGTCACCTGCTGCATGCCTATCTAGTGTGAGAAGGCTGCCCTCATCTGCAGAATTTAAACCTTGTTAGCATAGTACCACTTACTGTATCTTTTCTTCTGAAAGGAACCACCAATTGTATGTGTCTGAGTTGTTGGGTACCTTTACAGCAGTAGAACCCTGGAGTCATAGATCCTTCCAGGGACCTGCACTGTGACTCTCATATTCCAAAGACACACTGCCATTTAAGATGGAAAGCAGCTGAGAGGACCCGTAAGTCAGCAGCAATCAAATGATAACCAAAACAAGAAACAAAGCACCTTTTGCCAAGATAGGAAATAGCACGGGGAGAGTCCACTTTGCTCTTTTTGTTTGTTTGCTTGTTCTTTTTTTTTTTTAACTTTTATTCTTCTCTCATACAATACATCTCTACCAAAGTTCCCCCCTCCGCCCCTCCACTCCATCCAGTCCCTACCCACACCTCCCCTCTTTCCATTCTGCCTAGTCCTTCCCCACACCTTCCCTCTCTTCCAGATCAACTCCTCAGTTTCCAGAGAGAGAGAGAGAGAGAGAGAGAGAGAGAGAGAGAGAGAGAGAGAGAGAGACAGCAGGCCTTCCAGGGATATCCACCAAATGTGGCCTAACAAGATACAATAAGACTAGGCACAAACTCTCGTATCACAGCTGGACAAGGCAACTCAGTAGGAGGAAAAGAGTCCCAAGTGCAGGCAAAGGAATCAGAGACAGCCCCCACTCCCCATGAATCGAGAAGCACAGACCTGTATGGGTCTGAGCTAGGTCCTCCGCATACACCTTATGGTTGGGTAGGGAATTGAGAAGCACAGACCTGTATGGGTCTGAGCTAGGTCCTCTGTGTACCTTATGGTTGGTTACTTGGTGTTCACTTTGTTCTCTACCTCAGTGGAATCCTTCTTATCTGACATGGTCAGACGTAAAGGTGTATTAGTTAATATTTTTAACTTTGTAAATAATTTAACAATTGTGTATAATCTCTCTCTCTGTGTGTGTGTATATATATATATATATATACTAATATATATATGTATATATATATATACACACACACGCATATATGCAAATGTGTATTGTATATGTATGAAAATACATATGGCACTGGAGAGATGACTCAGTATTTACAAGCACTTACTTATCTGTCAAAGGACCTGAGTGACTCCAGTTCCAAAGAATCTGATACACTCTTCTGGCCTCCAAGAGTACTTGGATATACATGGTATACATCACACACATACACATACACAAAAGTAAATAAATAAATATAGTAATAAAATAATAAGTAAAAAAATTAAAGAACAAATATTATATACATGCTACTTATCTACATAGACACATGTTACATGAACAGATTTAGACACATAGATATTGGTTGACTGTTAATGTACACAGAATGTTAAGAAATTAAAAATGTTTGGCCAAGGATCCAGACCAGAAAGCATGTTTATGGATTTTCTACATTTTCTTTTCACTTAACATAATCAGATGTGTATCTCTCTCCAATTCTTCAGTGATAAAACAAGGACAGAGATATGTAGAGATTTCTATTCAGTGTTTTTAAAAAATGATGGGTGTCAGCCTTCCAAACAGCCACAGGATGAAGATTCTCTATCCCCATCATTGACTACTCACTCCATAAGATCTGGTCAGTATAATACTAGGACCTTCAGCAATTTCAGTCAAAGCTAAACTAACCACCCAATTTATCTGTATCTGATAATCACCCTAGAGACTAAATATTTAACTACAAAGATGACTAAAAACATTTGCATAAGAGTTACAACCCAAGAAAAATTAAAATTCAATTCTACACATACAAAAGAACACATTTTTTGGGTATACTCCATACATAGGAAATCATCTTGTTCCTCAAATACTTTGTTTTCCTTCATTTAAAATTGTCCTCTGAAGAGATAGTAAAATAAGCATCTGGCCTTCTACTGAGGGGTAGCTGAATTTCAACATTTCATAAAGCTACATACAGGTGCTGATGGAGGAAACATTAAAATTTACCGTTTAGTTTCAGTACTTGCTTAACTCTGACCTACAAAACTCAGAGTCCATTCTGGTCAATCATTTCAATCTCTTGACATTCATCCTACTTAAGTTTCAATCATCCAGTTAACACGTATTTATTGCCCTGCCGAATTAGAGAAATATGCATAGTAATTATAGTAAACTCCTTTCAAAGTTGTATATTCTACGAAGAGAGCATTAAAAAGAAACATTACCATACATATATAAAGGCAAACACAGGTGACTAAGAAGCTGTTACGTGGCGCTGGGCCGGGTGGTGCTTGCTTGTCATTCCAGCACTCAGGGGACAGCGCAAGAGGCTCGCCACAAGTTCAAGGACAGCCCGTCTACCTGGTAAGTTCTAGGCAAAGGTGATTTGCCTAGAAAGCTCAAAAGATCATTTTATAATTGTTGTTTGACTCTCAGATTTTTGAGTGAGTGTGTTTCTATATGTAACTCAAAGCCAAATGCCTAGTCAGGGTTCTTACATTTGTCAGCTGGAATTTTAATTCAGTGAATTTATCTGAGTTAATCTTAATTACAATTATGAAATACAGATATGGCAAAACCTAAATGTTACTAGGAAGTTATATTTTAAGCAAATGCAATATTTATTCTTGACTTCTAAATCTCATTCCTGGGAAAAAGCAAATTCCATTTTTCCTCCTCCATGAAAAGAAATACACCACGGTAACGAGCCAGAATGGGGTGATTGGCAGACACTTGGCAACATCACACATCAGCCTAATCCTTAGAATGGTTGAAACAACTTACAATATCGACCAATGGAGAGGTACCTGTGGTGCATCTCCTATGCACTTTACACAGGAGGAATTTACACACTGTAAAGAATTTTAGAAGCAGCAATACATAAGTATATCAATAATTCCTACAGGAAAAGTAAAGAAAATGCCTCAGGAAAACTTTACTTTGCATGCTAATCAAAAGGAGAGGAGGTGGAGGAGAAAAAGAAAACAGTCTCATAAAGATGAAACCCATTAAATTATTCAAAATACAAATTAAATCATATCATCTATCCAATCAATAAAAGAAACTAAAATTTTGGCAAAAAAAGAATGTAAATTCAATATATCCTTGGCAAGAGTGGGAGTGGGATTTCACTTCTTCCATGGTCTTACAGGAGTTAGACTTTCACTCCAGCTCCTCAAAGTCAAAAGCCGGAGCTAAACAGAACCTTCATGATGATAGGAACAAATCAGCACACACCTCCAGACCACCTGGGCTGTCTGGATCTCGGGTCCCTCCTTTAGTGCTCTTATTACAGGGTCTTTCCAAGCTCTGACCTTCACCCTTCATGCTCAAAGATCCCTTAACATTCCTACCCACTTTTTCATTTTACCTCCATAATTACCAAATCAAGTACAATTCACTCAGCCTCATTTTGTATTTTGAAAAGCCATATTAGTTTAACAACTTAAGAAATTCCTTGTGCCAAGTATCATAAACTTAAATTAGATCACTCAAAATGAGCACAGATGCAATTCAACATGTTTTATCTGGTTTTTGTCCTTCAATTAGAACATGATACTACTAAGGACAATTCAGATTCCAGCCTTAGCTCACTTCAGGTCCCATAAACTGACCGTCTTCTGGAAGCTGAATTGTTGAGAAAAGCCTCAGTACAGTGGACCATTCTACCTGGCTACTCCAGGGAAAGCATGAATAGATTCTTAAAAGATTTAACAGTTTAAGGAACTAAATTGAAGTTGTAAATCAATAAAATGAAGACAAATGAGCACTTATAAAAGAAGTCTTTTTATAAAATAAAACCATCTGACATGAGCTGTACTCACAACCTTTCAATCATCTGTGCTGTGTGTCAGAGCTGTGCATTCTCAGACAGCTAGCATATTTAGGATATAGGAAAGTGCATTAATAACAGACCTTCAGCTAACATCCTTAGTGATTACCACACCTAGCATTGCCTCCACCTCCACCTTGCTTCTCCTCCTGCCTCATTTCGACTTTGGTCCAACCTGCATACTCATCTCTGGATGCTAGTCCACTTCCCCACCACTGTAGGCAAAGGAATGAAATCACCTGTCACTCTCCCTTCATCTTACAGAAGTTTGACTTTCCTCTTTAATTGCGTATTATCATTTATCTTGTCATAAATGAATTTGGTGAATGAGCTTGGGCCATAACTTCATTGATAGTTTTTTCTGTCTTCTATCTGGAAGAGAATATGAATGCTTTACAAATTCCTCTATTTCCAGATTAAAACACCAAGCTGTCACATATCCCTGCTGACTACAGAGCTTTTAAAGAAATGAAAGTAAAAGGATGAATGAATGTCTGACCTTCCTGTCAATCACTCTCCCACACTGTCAGCATCGCTCTGGCCTTAGTGAGCTAGTGATGCCTTCTCTTCATTATCTACAGGGTTGACTGACCTGTCAGGTATCTCAGCTCATCCCCATAGTTGGCAAGCTGTGACTACATGTTTACATGTTCAAAGCAACCTTACAATTGCTCTACTCCATCTGCAGATTAAAGTCTGTGTCACTTTCTATCAAAACCCACCTGATTCTGACACAATGGTCCAACACAACCACTCATTCTACCACCATTTTAGTAGATAATCATGCCCAGTATATTGAAACTACTACTTATGTCACTTTACAGTGTACCATGGGGAAGCAAGAAAGACTATGCTTACACTTGTTTGGAAACACATTTAATTTGGGGAAAAATAAACATGTGGTCCAGAGCTGAGCATGGAAGTCAATTTTAGCATTTAAAAGACTGACATTCTAGGCCAACAACTCTGATAAAGACAACAGACCTTGCAGAGAACATAGATAAACTGAAGCAAGCAGAAACTGTCAGTACTTTAGGATCTTACCAGAAAGGGACTCCAGCAGATGCAGGAGACGCACATTATGGCCAGGAGCTGAATGACCATCTCGAAGTGGTGAGATCTGCCTTGTCTATGCTGCTGACTTTTAAACTTCACCCTTAAGAGTGTGACTCCTGTGATGGCATTGCACAAGAACGAAACACCAAGAGCTAAGAGGCCCAGGAAAGAAAAGAACAAGAGATAAAACCGGTCTTCCCAGTCCTCAATGTGCTCTGTGTTGTAGAAGCACCAGGTTCTGGACGCTTGGATTCGATAGTCTCGGTGTCCGAGGATAGGCAGCAGAGCCACGAAAACAGCGAACATGCACACCCCACTCAATATCATCTTCACATGTGTAGATGTGATTTTCGTAGAATGGAATATTGGGTTGGTGACTCCGATACACCGCTCAATGGCCATCGCACTGCCTAGAAAAAGTGGGCACAAACCAGAAAACACCATAGAGATTCCAAAAACACTGCACAGGATGTTTGATTGATCGAAGCGGATCCAGTCTTTATCAGAAGCGTATACAAAGACAGCTATCCCTCCATTGATGAGATGGCCAAAAAAGTCTGTGATCACCAGGCCACTAGCCAGGAGCAGAAAGGAGGCCTTCGACTTCTGTCTAAATCTCTGATACGCCTTCATGAGAATGGCAATGGCCAGGCTGTTAGACAAGATTCCCACTGTCATGAAGATTATTGAAAAAAATACTGAAAGCCGGTTTTGCGTTTGGCAGGTTGTGTTTGCGACGAGTCCAGCTGCGGGAAACACTGGCTGTTTGGAACTGTTCATGGACATTGTTGTGGAGATAGAAGCTGTCCCCTCAGGTCATCTCTCTGTCACCACTGTGCAGTCTCGAAGTGCAGACATCTGTAGCACACAGGACAGGAATTATAAAGACCAAATTTGCCAGATATCTGACAGATAAAACCAAGTGCCCCAGCACCCTGGCCTGGGGTGGATTTACCCAGCCTATCATAAGTCAGGTAGCAGCATTCTGAAACCAGCACGCATCTGCCCCCGATTCTTCTTTTTTTCCCTCTTTCTCTCTTCCAAGGTAAAGATACCGCCCAAATTAACAGCTGTCAGTTTACTTCCCTCTAAGGATGGAAATCTCTGAGAACCCTTCTGACATGTCGTTGGCATCTTAAATTTCAATTCAATTGCGTTTTCAAGGCATGACAATCTATTTAAATAACTAATCCTTTAAGAACTTGGTCTTTTCTCTGGGAGGCACTGACCCCCAAGTCTAGGTGAACCACCTGCTTGTCATGCAAGCTTACTCCTGCTAAAGAGAAGGCTTCTAAAACCTAAGTCATGAAAGGGCAACACACAGAAAAAACACGAGAGAGAGAGAGAAAGGGGGGGGGAGGGAGAGGGAGAGACTCACACACACTCACACTTTGTCTCCTGGAAGAAAGTGTTACAGCTCTGAGTTCTGATCGCAGAGTCCTTCTCTACCCTCTTTCTGCCAGGGCAGAAATCCCTGTGCTAGAAGATCAAGAGGGAAAGCAGCGTCCCCTCAACACTTTGGCCTGAAAGACGCTGTCAGGTTACTGCAACCTCCAGTGAGAAAAAATGTATTTTTTTTCCCCAAGTCACCAGCAAGCTACAGGACCACAGCCACCCCACCCCTAGCTAATAAGATTGGTTTCCCAAAGAAGCTTTCCTTTCCGGGAGACTGCGGACTCAACAACACAGTGGCTCTAAGTGTGTCCCCAGGGAGAGTCTGGCTGCCCGCTCCGTGTCTTACTCACAGTTTGACTTTCGCCAATTGCAAACCCCGCACCCCACGGGGCCTCAACTTGCAACATCGCCTCTAAACCTAACCAACTTGCTGAAACTTTTTGCAATTCCTCAAACTCCAGAGAATTCTTTTCCCTCCCACCCTGGAGGGCGCCAGAGGTCTGCAGCAGACTGGGTATGGTCCATGAAGTGCCACCAGCGGAGAATCTCAAGGAGAGAAGTATCCCGGTTTGCCTGCTTCTCTCGTGTGTGTTGGGGGAGGGGGGCATCCTTGCTACTGAGCCCCATCCATACAGCCTAGCCCAAACACCCTCCCTTCTCCACAGCTCACCACGAATTGGGTCCAAAGTCACTGCTAAGCGCAGCCTAAGGTGCTCCCCACCGTGGTCCCTACAGCTGTCTCCACGGGACTTAATCAACCCTGGATTCGGCTGGGGAATCCAGAGCCGTGGGAATCTGGCCATGGGAATGCAGCCATCAGATTGCTGGTTACCTTGGCATCCTGGGCCACCAAGTGGCTGTGTCCGGAGCAGAAGAGCTCTGCGCCCTGCTTGCCTTGGCGCACTCAGCCCCACGCAGCGGCAGCGGCAACCTCAGGTTCCACGGCTCAGAACTTCCTCTGTCGCCTCTGCGCCCTAGATCACCCGCAGGACCTCCTGGTCCAACTGTGCCCTGGACTCCAAGGCACCTAGCGATGCTCCCAGCCTCCGCGGGGTGGAGGGCTCAATGACCTCCGCCCCTTCCTTGTCTTTCTCCTCTCCGCCCCCTTTTCCTACCCGCACAGGGTGAGGCTAGCTACTCGGATGCTTTGGTCACCCAGCAGCCGCAGACAACACTTTCAGCCACCAGACAGCTACGGAAAGTTTTGCTCTAAGCTCATTTCCAAACGAAAAAGGCCATTTCTGAGGCTGGAAGACAGGAACAAGGAGGGCCAAGAAATGTCTAGACCCTGGTGTGTTTGGTTGTGGGATGCAGCTTACAGAATAAACGCGGAATTCCAAGTCCAACCAGAAGGGGTCACAGGGAGAAAGGGCTGCCTGTCTCAAAGAGAACTTCAAGGCAGATATCCCGAGGGAGTGAATAAAAGGAACTCTGGCCAGCTGCTGTACGCGGAACAGCCTTGGGTTCCACTGTCCCAGGAGCTCAAGCCCATCTGGGTAAGAGAATGAGGGAGTAGTTTGAGCAGCATCCCTGAGCACCTGCTGGCCTGGGGTTGGGTAGCATCAAAGTCCTTGAAAGAATTTCTGGTGACATCCACAACAAAGGATGGGCACCTCACAGATTTTGTAAAAATTAGTTTATGATCAAGTACAGATACGCTTATTTTTCATTAAGAATTGTTATTTGAGCCATGTTATAAGTGTATAGTGTGGACTTATACAGTGTGAGTCTTTTTTACACTCTAATTGCTTTTAGCTGATAACACAACCCCCCACAGCTGTTAACATCTCATTTCCCATCTCAACACTTAACGTGATTCTATTACTGCTCTTAATTTCTCTTCTGAACTTAGTAAGATGTTGTCACTGGCTGTGTGGAGAAAAAAGAAACAGGGCCACATTTAAATAAACCCGTTTCTCTGTTCCAGAACTACAAGGCACTTCTAAATTCCTGAAAATTGCAAGGGATCATAAAGTGCAAATGCGAGATAAAATAAATTAGCCATTAACTGTAGAACAGAGCAATTGCACACTTTCCCCCTGTGGTGGAGACAGAGAATTTTTTATTGATATTATCATAGCATGTTTTAAACTGTTACTTGGGTATGGTCAGAGAATTGAATGTTTTAATTAGTTAAGAAAATAGTGTGCCTGGATGGCCAGTATCCAAAGAACAACCATGTCATAAGCCACTCTGAAAATGTGACACTGAGTGCCACTCTTTCCTTTAATGATTAACAGTACTTAGTCACCATACTGCATGTTGATGGTTTTTCTTGTGTTTCTCTCACTGACATGAACCTCTACAGAGTTCTTATCCATTCTCCCTCTGTCCTCACCGGAACAACATCTGGACTCTCACCAAACCTTTGAATTAATAAATTCTCTCATCAGCATTTCCATTTCGGAGCTCTGTAGCTTGAAGACAGGGGCATCGCACACCAGCTGCTATGGCACTGGGTATGGGATAGAAAAACATGCTTGCTCATTCAATGTCAAACTGTAGCTGTTAATAAAATCAAAGCAATAGTGATTCCTTCTTTCAAAGTGCTATGTAAATTGTATCATTTCTTTCAATCTACTCTCTGTTATTGGAATTCCTTCTTTAGAGCCCCATTCCTTCACCAAGACATAGTTCACCTGAGTGCTCCCGAAAAGTCCTAAATACCAACATGTCTTCTCAAGACAAACTAGACACATTGATATGATCAGGGTAAGCTGCTGTGGAAGAGCAAACAATTAACAATTGTCAATGATGCACCCCAAGCCCATGTGCAACCCAAATCCCCAAAGGTAGCTCTTGAAAACTGGTAGATCCACGGAAAGGAAAGCTTTCAGACCAAAACGTAAGAGGAGAGAGTGAGAGGCTGGCAAACCCTTCTAAAATGTAGTTTAATTTTATTGTTGTGTGTGAGAAGTTGACACTCCTGTAAAGGTATTTATGGACACATTCATTCAACAGATTCAGTGAGAATCAGCCCTTTGCCAGTACTGTTTCTAGGAGAAAAATGTAACTCCTGTGTGAGCAAGCACAGAACCCTGGACTGTATGGTTCTGTAGGAAGTGAACTTGCTCCTGAGGCAAGCATGTGATGGGGTTTAGAATACCAGCATTCTCCTTGTATCGAATGGAGATAAAACTGATGCTAGCTTTATCTCCACTCAGAAGAAGGTAATGCACTGCATATGTGTACTTAGCAATCACCACTCAGGATAAGACACACAGAGCAATTTAGACAGAAGATGTGCACACTCCATGACATTGAAATAGAAATAAAACTCCATAAAAATCAAGAAGGAATGTTGAGAATTGTTTTTGTCATTTTAATTAAACTGCCTACAAAGGTTTATTGGAATTTGCCATCAAGATTAATATAGGAAACATGCTCCAGTTTGGTTGTTATGAAAATAAAAACTTTAGTCTTTTTATTTTTATTATGTAAATACTTGATACATAAAAACTAATATATGTAATACATTTGTGAGTAGTGAATTCTAAAAATATAATAAAGTTAACCAATGGATTTAACCTAATAAGGGATTGTGTTAGCTTCCTAGAGCTGTGTAACCAAGTACCACACACTGGGCAGTATAAACAACAGAAATTCAGGGTTCGAGCATGAGTGTCTACGATCCAGGTTCCAGAGGCAGCAAAGAAAGGACAGGCTCAAGGTTAGAGAAAGCCTTCCTTCATGGGACCCCTGCTCTGAACGAAGGAGAAGGTACAGTCTGGGCACATGCAGCTGTTTAGGACTTTAAGAACACTCAGATAAATATGTCTTGATCAAGGAATGGGATTCTTGAAGCAATTCAAGTAATAGATGCAAAGTAGGTTGGAAGAATAATTCAGTTTATGAAATCCCTTGAAAAAGAAATCACTGTTGTTCTGACTTTATTAAACAGGTGCTACAATTTGACATTGAAAGAGTGAGAATTTCTTTTCTCTCCACACCAAGAGCTGTAATTCAGAGCAAACAATTCTATTCACTCAACTATCTGCCCCATCTCTCCTCCATATGCGGAGGAAACTGTGCAGACTGCCTTTCATGTGTGAGCTGAAGGAACTTGTCACAGGCTGGGCACAAGACAGGAGATACAAAATATCTTTCTTTTTAAAAAAATATTTTTAAATTACATTTATTTAGTTGTTTTGTGTGCGTGTAGGGGGTGTGGTGCATGAGTACAAGCATATCATAGGATGCATGAGAAATTCAGAGGATAATTTGGGGTCATAGTTTCTCTCCTTCCATCATGTGGGTATCAGGGATCAAATTCACATCATCGGACTTGGTGGCAGATGCCTTGACTGTTGAACAACCTCCCTGCCCTCTGAAATATCTTTCTATTCAACTTCTTCTCCTCAACTTTCTTTTCTTTTTATCCCCTAGCCTTTCTACACTGTCACCATAAATAGTTAACAACAACAAAGAAATGTCATAGCTGGCCTGAGATGTTGTGTAAGAATGTGGATTGGATATTGCAAAACCTTCTGCACCCAAACCAAAACAATGCAGACGTCTGTCTTTCTTCTGGTTTATTTCTCAGCAGCAACCTTGGATATAAAGAATATAAAGCACTCTATGTTTTATTAAACCCAGGGCTACATGAAGACTTGGGAAGAATACCAGCCTGTGGTCAAACAGATTTGGTTTTCTCACAATATGCTTGCTGTTCAAGAAACTAAGATACTTGACCTCTTTATGCTTAGGGTCACACATCTATGTTTAAGTCGTTTAATTAACTCATTCATTTATTCATGTGTTTCTAAAGACCCACCATAGTATATAAAGTTGACAATAATACAATGACAGCAGATTGACAGTTAGCCTACAACATATATATCAGTCTTTCTTGTACAGAACAGATCCCTGAAGAGTGACTGGGAGTCAGTTGTTGTCTGAGTGATCAGGGCAAGAATGAAAAAGATGGAGAGAATCATGTATGAAGTCCTACATATTTCAGAAGCTAAGGACGTGAGCTGAAGCAAAGACTTCAAACAGTGAGGAATAAGAGGCAAGTCTTGGGGGAGAAGTAACTGGGTAGACTGGGAAGGGTCCTGGGAGCTAGGTTAAGTACGAAAGAGTTGATGAGAGCACTTCCCACATAGCACTTCCTGATGGGACTAGAGTTCAGAGAGGCCTACAGACCATTATCTACTTTCTGGAAGGTTGACAATGTTGGTTAATTTTTTTTAAATAAAGGATTCTGTTCAACATTTGTTTAAAAGCTTTCCCAAAAGTGGTATGTGTGAAAAATATTATCCTCTTGTGGACTGAGATTCCAAGAAGTTGTTTGGTGGGAGGGTGGGGGTGGGGATGTATTTCCATTGTAAATGAGGGACTACTAAAATCACATGGTGTTATACAAAGATATAGCAACAGCTACAATAGACAGAGCTCTAGATACCTTTAAACTACTTAATTTAATCCTTGTAACAAGGCTGTGGTGTAGATAGTTCATATTATGTCTTTTCATCATTACAAGGAAGAAAACAAGGATTAAGGAATCTGGTAATTTTCTGAGGTTACATACCATTATCATGTGTGGAAAAACTTAAACTATGAACTTGGTCAATGTGCTTCATGGCTGGCATACCATAGGCCAGTCGACCTGCATGGGAAGGCAGGTCAGACAAGAGTCCAAAGAGACCAGAGACAATGAAGAAGGGAATTGCTACTGTGATTCTGGCAAGAGTTATTGCAGATGCAACCACAGTCAGGTCATGCTGGAATAAGCACGACTCCTAGGCCAACATGACTGAGGTCTTTATCCATAGACAACCCTGTGAGGGTGTAACACACGGTGTCCACACACATGTGAAAATCAAGGTATAAACTGGAGGGATGCGGCTGCAGAGCTGAGATCACCAGCCAAGCATCAGGCAAGAACATGGCAGGGAACAGATTCCCCAGCACATCTCTCAGAGGACCTAACCTCGTTGTCACCTTCACTTTGGGATTCTAGCCTGCCACCATATGAGACACTAAATTTTTAGTTTTCCTTAAACTCACTGAAGGAGCTGAGGAAAGCCTTGAGCTTCTGACCCTCTTGCTTCGTGTCTCAAGTGCTGCGGTTACAGGTGTGCCCTCTTGTTCAGTGCCAAGATCAAATCCAGAACTCTGTACATGTTAGATGAGGATACCAACTGAGCTACATCTCTAGCTCCAGTTTATGTTGTTTATACTACCCAATTTGTGGCACTTGGTTACACATCTCTAGAAAACAAACCTAATCTTTTATTGGCTATTCGATTTATTGGTTAATTTTATTATATTCTTGACAGTCAGTCCATGCAGTTTCATTGATCATGGAGTCCAATGATTACTATGTTTAAAGTCAACACTGGCCAGTCACCATCCTGACATCTTAATCATTTTGCCTTTAAGTTTATATTTTGTAAGTGTACAGAATATTACCAGAACAAAAGAGCCTGGTCCAGGAACCTGGAA